GCATTAGACATGATGACATCAGGGGGCCTTGGTCCGTAGCAGAGGGGGAAGGCTGCGGGCACGGGTCTTGGAGGCAGCAGGAGTGAGGACCAGGTAAAAAATGTTTACTCCGGTCCCCTGGGCATAGAACGAGCCCCACTGCAAGAGGACAGTTTGCCTGGAGATAGTCTTGAAATATTAACTTTCAGATGGACTGACCCTTTAAAATACGTATATACACAATACAGTGATAGTGCAGGCAAAAAAATGCAACAAATAAAAAAAAGATTCACAATAAAATGACATACTCGGGGAAAATAGCTGATCCTAAGTGAGACAGCTCCTCGTCTTCAATGGTAAAGCCATTACAGTTAACCTAGAGAAACACAAAGAGATTAATAGGGATCACTGCATTCCATAATCCTCTTGCCATTTTAATATTGGATATTACTTATTTTCAATGCATCATTTTCTTTAAAAGGAAAAAAAAAAAAGCAGTTTACTCATGACACGTCTGAGAGTAAGGGGAAATCAGAGGATTCTTGTCATTTTCTTTCATGTGGGTTAAGAGTGTGTTGTATGTATGTATGTATGTATGTATGTATACATACACACATACATACACACACACACACAGTATCTCACAGAAGTGAGTACACCCCTCACATTTTTGTAAATATTTTATTTCATCATTTCATGTGACGACACAGAAGAAATGACACTTTGCTACAATGTAAAGTAGTGAGTAGAGATGCACCGAAATGGAAATTTTAAAACCGAAACCAAAAGAAATGTCAGGCCGAAACCGATACCGAAAATGTTTGTTAATTTTTATTTTTTCAATTTTTTTTTAAATATTTTATTTTTTATAAACTTTTTTATATTTATTTTTATTTATTAATTCATTTTTTATTAAATATTTTTATTTTTTATGTGTACCTTGCTTTTCTCTCTGACACACTGTCACAGGAGGCTGATCGAGCGGTGTAGAGAGGCAAGCCCAGCCTCCTGTGACAGCACTGTCTCCGCCCCCACACCGCTCTGCCGGACTGTGATAGGCGGCAGAGCGGTGTGGGAGGAGAGCCACTCACAGCGCTCTCGTCATGCAGCGCTCGGCCGGCTGTCACTTTCTCTTCTCCCCGCTCGGACATAGAGCAGCGCCCAGCGGGGAGGGATGTGCCGATGTATCGGCCGAAACATGGCTCTTTCGGCATTATGCCAAAAGTGCCATTTTCGGCCGATATGTTTCAGACCATATGTCGCACACTGCATCAAATTGGTCTGCATGGCTGTCGTCCCAGAAGGAAGCCTCTTCTAAAGATGATGCACAAGAAAGCCCGCAAACAGTTTGCTGAAGACAAGCAGACTAAAGGACATGGATTACTGGAACCATGCCCTGTGGTCTGATGAGACCAAGATAAACTTATTTGGTTCAGATGGTGTCAAGCGAGTGTGGTGGGGCCAGATGAGGAGTACAAAGACAAGTGTGTCTTGCCTACAGTCAAAAAGTATCGGTGCACCCCTACTAAAGACCATATGGGACCAGTGGACGTATAGAGTGGTTGCCTATAACAGCCAATCAGGTTTTAGATGCCATATGCAGAGAGAATGCTGACTGACTACCAGGGTGATGGCTCCAGTTTCCATAAAGTGTACTAGTTTGGTATAAACAATATTTTTAGTTATTCTTTGCACTTGGGATTTAAAGTCTGGACCTTTACAAGTCTGCGTTAATAGATTTCTCGACATGCCAAAACACAGCAACAGTAGCATTTTGCAACAGCGCTGTGTATCTGTTACTGCTCTGTTCATATCTATGTGAAGCGGGAGTGTGTGCAATGCCGCACACAATTCCACATTGTATGTTGCAATGTTAGGTGCAATAAAGAGCCATTGTTTCTTAACCACTTGCCGTCCGCCCGATGTAAAAAAACAGACGGACACGTTTAGCAGTGCCGTCCGTCCGTTTTTTTACTACGGGCGGACGGCAAGAGGTTAAAGAAGAAGAACTCGGGGCAAAAAGATCTTAACCAATGCAGCGGGCCTACCTCTGCATTACAAGGTTTAATTGCTCATTTTGTCTCGGAAACCTAAGTAACAGAGACATACCCACCCAAACTGCGATCCCGGCTGGCTCCTAGACTGGTCCGTTCAGCATTGTTCCCCCTCCACTCCAGCGGTCTAAGTTCCTGCGAGTTATCACATTCTATACAGTGTATTGGACGTGAGGACGCCAAAGGACATTGCATCACTGGAGCAGAGGAGGAAAAACAGGCACTATGAAAAATATGTGGCCTATCACTAAAAGAAGATGCTGGTTACCTGGCTGTGATGCTGACCCAATGACTTCAGTACTTTTTTGGTCAAATCTGGAACAAGTATGCAAATAAGGAGTTCTGACTCCACTTGCTGCATACAGTACTGTGGTCAATCTAGATCAGGCCACTAGCATTGTTGCTAACAGCAAAGCAGAGGGCGTATTTCTCTCAGTAAAAGGTTTCCCAAAAGTCAGTCTGTATAAGAGAAGTGACCAGAAAGTTTTTATGAAGCAAAAGCAAAGCTTTCAACCACATTTCTGCAAATCTGTTGAAGCCCCCCTCAGCTCCAAATATAAGGATGTAAAAAATGCATGCACACCTTTTAAAATCATCTCATGTTGATAGAAATGATGGGATGAGTTTGTATGTATTGCATTTAGGATCTGATCTGAATTGGATTTATGGGTAAGGCTTGTGATTTGCAGCATACATATGGCCCCCCAACCAGGATATGTGGATTTTGTATTTTTGTGGCCTAATTTTGTGCATCATATGTAGCGAGACTTGTTACTAAAATGCATAAATCTCATTATGATTTACAATAGTGCCCTGAACATGACTAAAGAATATACGGACACATGTTGGATTAGGTGTGTAGACCAATATGACTGCAAGTGGGTTTTTTCGCAATGTTTGAAGCCAAGCCGAAAACGATTTTAGATTCTGATGCAGTGATAAGTTTCTACTAGAATGGCCCATCATTAATGGAGTTTGAATTAATGGCAATTTAATTAAAATCTAATAACTAACATTTTCAGCTTCCACCTTAATGGCTGGTTGGGTTGTATGTGAATCTTAAGCCTTTGGGCTCCATTTACAGAAAGATTCTCGACTGACCTACAAGAAATTGTAGGTCAGTTGAGGATAACCTTTGCTACCAACAGCATGTCTCAAATTTGTAGCAAAGCAGTACCAAGAGTATAATCAATCTGTTCCTCAATGTACTCCAAGAAAAAAACAAAAAAAAAGGATTTATGGAGAGTACACAAACCCAATTTTCTTTCTCATCCATGAATGGCTTGTTCACATGTCTTACAGTGCGTTCCAGCGCGGTAAGCTGATGGAACGCATTATCGCAACCCGTTGGCTTTCAGGGGCGGGAGGGGGGTGTGGACATGCATTGAAGTCAATGGGCCCCCCACATCGCCCGCACCAGAACGTGTGGCGCATCAATCTCTGCGTTACGGTCCAGTGCAATCTGAAAAAATAGTGCATGCAGAACGCAGAGGGGAGTTTAGAATGCGAAACAGTGCGTTCCAGTAGCCAACCGTGCTGAAACGCACTGTAACTCATGTGAACAACGCCTAAAAGGGACACAGCAAGTCTTTAAACTTTGCAATGTAAAAAGAGGGGTGAGCAACAAAGCAAACAAATGCTAACGGGCCCAAAGTAACAACAGAAAACTAAGGACTGCCTGCAGCTCAAAGAATGGCCTGAAGGACCTTATGGCCAAAGCTGGCATCAGAAGAGGCCAAAACATTCACATGGTAAACCTTAGAGAACATCTGAAGACCAGGCTGCAGACTTGCAAATCCAGAAAACAGTTGCACTCATATCTAACAGAGTGCACCTTGACAGGAAAGGGAACAACCTGATCCTTCAGACCATAAGCTTGAATGATGGTGTGGAGTCCAAGCCACCTACAGGTGGTGGAATTAAAAGTTGGAGCAACCTTTCGGGATGACAAAAAGGGAATTAGTCTTTCTGAAAGAAGTGGCTGAGAGATAGACTCGCATAGCCCAAACCACATCCAGCCTGAACTCCATCCAGATGATGGAGGGACATTTCCTTATTTGGTGAACTAAAAGAAGCAGTGGCTGAGAGACTTGCAGTCTGAACCACATGCAGCCCAAACCCCATCCAGACAATTTCCTTTTGGTGAACCAGACAAAAAGGGACAGAAGAACAATGTCCTGGTTGTGGTAAAATGCAAAATGGCAGCCCCCTTGAACAAAGGTTGTAATCAAACAATGAGAGGCCAACAGCCTCTGAAAAGTAATAAAAAAGCAGAAACCGGAACCTTTGATAGCACCCAGAGCCCAACGCTGGTTCAGACCCAGCTGTAGGAAGTAGAGGATTTGTTCCACAGGGAAACTCCTCAGATGTAAGTCTGAGACTCACACTAAGCGAAATATGGAGCCAAGGTGGACTCAGAGGTCAGGATAGACCAACATCAGGGAGGAAGGCATACCGCCAGGCTGCAGGCATTGGCACAATCAATAGGTGTGCTGCAAGCAGCCCCAGAGCTGTTAGAGAGTAAGCTGGGACACCTGGTGCAACAGGACTGCCCCCCTCGTGTCTAGAATCAGATATGCTATGGCCCCATGCAGTAAGGCAACATGCAAGCTCAGGGGTAAATGGACAACTTGTAGCAAGTGAGGGTCAGAAGGTTGGAGGTGACCAAAGTCAGTGTAGGCAAGCAGCAGGAACAGATTGAAACTCCATCTAGCTCTTTGCTAGCAGAGAAGCAGCAGCGGGAAGATGCTTTCCCAACACTATAATGCAGGAATGAGAGTGGAGCTTGAAGCTTCCTCAACAATATGTGGCAGGAAAGAGTGTGTAGAATGCTTGTGACACTCCACCCAGAGAATGTTGCAAGCGCTCAGCTAACCACTTCTGCTGAATAACCAGCAGAAAACGATGGTGCCCAGGGACCTAGGAAAATGAGGTAGCTCCTGGTGCTCAGCCCAATTGGCCTACTTACTAGGCAAGTCTTAAGAAACAGGGCAAGTGCTGGGGCAATGCCTGTGGCTCTGGACCTGGAAAGTGCTCTTTAGCAACCTTACTAGAACTGGAGTCTGCAAAGTGACACACAAAATCCAGTGCCCAAGGATCACAATGTCCAGTCCAGAAGGGCCCAGATACAGTATTCTGAAAGCCAGAGGAGGACAACTGTGCCACAAAGCTGCAATCCGGAGAGAAAGTACCAGCAGCAATGTAGAGTTAAATCTTGATTCAAAAAGGAAAGAAAACAATGCAAGCAAAATAAAAGGTTATTCTATATTACAGCACCAGGACACTAGCAAATGCTTTGTACAAGCTTTATGTACACACTGCTCTTGTACAAAATGGAAGCCTGCATGTTAACCACTTGCTGTCCGGGGCATTTTCTTACTATTTGGGCAAACATGATAAAATATACATTTTTGGCTAGAAAACAGCTTCAGACCCCCAAACAATTATATATGTTCTGAAAGTAGAGGCCCTGTAGAATAAAAAAAATGCTAGTTGCAATTTTGTACGTCGCACGGTTCTTTTTATCAAACCAGTATTTTTAGGAAAAAATAAACAAAATTAAAATTTAGTGCACAGAAACATAATATAATACCCAATTTTTTGGTAAAATATGAAAGACGGGATCACGCCGGGTAAATAGATACCAAACATGTCAAGCCCTAAAATTGCGTTCGCCCGTAAGGCTGCTAAAAAAGTCAATATCCAAAATTTCCCATAGGGAACATTTTACACACTTTTATCGCTCATCAGTTTAGTGCTAACAGTGATCGACAGCGCTAGAATTATTGCTATCACTCCGACGTTCGTGGCGATATGTAACATGTGCAGCACAATTGTCGTTTTCGTACGTAGGCGCACCCGACACATGTGGGGGCAGGGGACTTAAAATAAAAAAATGCAAAAATGTTTTTTTTCTTTTATGTTACTTTACATTTTCATAACTTTTAAACACTTTATTTTATTATTTTTTACACTAACCCTATTGCTATTACATAGGGGGCTAACAAGCACCCTATGTAATAGCAGATAGGGTGTGACAGGTCCTCTTTATGGAGACATATAGCACGGCTGCTGCAGCAGCCACGTTCTTGTCTTAACCACTTTAACGGGCCGCCGTCTATAGACGTATTGCGGCCCGGAAGTGGTTAAAAGGCCAAAAAAAAGAAAATCTTTTTTTCCCCCATTTTGTATAGTATAGAAAGGACAACCTAGTACAGAACAAATCAAAGCAATGCAACTGGAGAAGCAGGATAGCATAGCTTAAAACCTCTATTTTTCTGCCCAGTTATTTTTTTATGATCGCCGTTCCTCAATTAGAACACAATGTCTCTCTCAGTTTCTAAACAATAACAGCTGCCTAACTAATTGAAGAGTCCCCTGGTGACTTCTGTCCTCACATTAGCCAGAGCTATCTGACAGCTTTGGGAAGAGGGAGATAGGATAACATGATGGGGAGGGTGAAAAAGGGGTCACTTGCCATAACCAATTATACTAGATGTAAGAAAAGAGAAAGAAAGAAGAAAAAAAAAAGTCCCAGTAATTAATTTCTAAAATAATGAAAAAATTATCTCTGCAGATTTAAAGTGGGGGGAAAAAAACCAAAAAAAAAAAACCTTTCATTTTCAATAAAATGTATTATAAAACAATCGAACTAAAAAAACTTTAAAATATGACAATTGTTAAAGTGGGCCTTGCACTCCAAACAAGGCTCACTACTCTCATAAGGCCCCATCCCCCAAATTAGAAGCGCTGCACTGAAAAAAAAAAAAACCCTCTCCCATGACCGACATCCAATCACCGATCTCCTTCCCGCTGTAATGGACCGGGAGCAACGCTAAGTGCATCACCTCCGGTCCCTGAGTGGTCATTGCTCGGCTCCTGAAGCCGACCAATAACCTATTGAAGTGCAATCTGCCCTTCAAAAGCTTATACAGGCAGTCCCCGGGTTACAGACGTCCGACTTACGGACAATCCGTACTTACGAACGGGGTCCACAGTTCTCCTAAATGTACCGGCAGCCGCCGGTACAATTAGGAGAACTGTAGCTGCAGCGGCCTGTGTCCTTTCAAATCCCCGCTGTTCTCCGCGCCTGTTTTGGCGGAGGCAGCGGGGACACAGACCTCGGCATACCACGTACCTCCGCTGATGTTCCGGCTTCCTCTTCAGCCGTTCCGCCGGCTTCCCCGGTCCGGACGATCCTCCGGTCTCCTCTGCCCTGCCCCCCTGCCTACTCTTCATTGCAGGCTGGGAGCCATGCTATTGGATATTGTAAAATGCAATAGCCAATAGCAAGCTGGCTATTGCACCCGCCCACTGTCTGCTGTCAATCAGCATGGGGGGACCTAATAGATAACTTTCTGCTTCAGGCCCCTCCTCTGCTGATTGACAGCAAGCAGTGGGCAGATGCAATAGCCAGCCGGCTATTGCAATTTGAAATATTCAATAGCAGGCTGGCTATGGCTCCCAGCATTAAAATACAAAAAAAAATTAAAAAAAGTTAAATAAATAAAAATAAAAAATGCAAATAATAAAAAGTTTATAAAATAAAATTAAAAATAGATTTATTTTTTTTGCTGTGTCATTTTAAATAAAAAATGTTTTTAATTATTATAATCTTCTAAACAACAGGAACAGACAGCAAAAGAACCGTGACCCTTCCCTATGCTATCCAAAACTAAAAAAAATGTTTTTTTTGGCTGGAGTTACACTTAAAAAAATGTACCTGTTCCGACTTACATACAAATTCAACTTAGGTACAAACCTAAAGTCCCTATCTTGTATGTAACCCGGGGACCGCCCGTATTAAGTGGAAAAGTCATACTAGGGGCCTTTTGGACCCAACCAGTATCGCTATTAAGAGGACCAGTCACCACCAATATGCTATCACATGGCGGGCTTGTAAGCCACTGATCCGGCTTTCAGCTTATCACACTGTGTTGTGGAGCGGCAAGCCGGATCAATGTGATACAAAGTAGGAGGAGAATATGTCTACTCAGAATACCAAGTATCCACAGCCCCTGTGAATAGATTTAAAAAAAAAAAAAGAAAAAAGAATTTAACCCTTTAGTGCCCCCTAGTAAAAAAAAAAAAATATGATAAGATAATATTACTGCCAAGGAGGTTATTAGAGGTAGAAGACAGACATACCACATTCTAAAAATTGTTCCAGACTAAAACTGTATTTCACTCCTTGTATTTTGTGACCTATAACTCCCAAAATAAACTGAAATTCCAGACAAATATACGATATATCCTATAAATCAGGACAAATAAAATAATTTATTATGAATTACTTTGTGTTAGCTAAACTAGTTATGTACACATATTTGGCATATTATTGCCAAAACTGAAAAATGTGGGGGGTTTTTTCATTTTTGTTTGCATTTTGTTTTTCTTATTATATAAATATAATATATCATAAATATACACACCCACCCCCCCCCCCCCCACCAACTCCCCCAATGTATGAGGACAGAACACTGAACCCCCCAATCATCAGACAACACCAATACCCTCCCCCCC